ATCTGAACGTCGGGTCAGGATTGGTACAGGGCTCCCGACCGACCTGAGAGCAAGGATAGTCCAGGTCCTGACAGAGTTCAAGGTAATTTTTGATTGGGGGCTGAAGATATGCCTGGGCTCGATCCAAGCGTAGCAGTTCACCGATTGAACGTAGATCCAAAGGTGACGCCCGTGAAACAAAAGAGAAGATACTTGTCTTTCGACAGGAAAGAATTTGTCAAAGGGGAAGTAAATATGTTGCTGGGCATGAGGCATATCACAGAAGTGCAGTATCCGGAGTGGCTTGCCAATGTAGTCTTGGCCCCTAAGCCGCCAACATGGAGGATGTGTGTGGACTACACAGGCCTAAACAAAGCCTGCCCAATGGATCCTTTCCCTTTGCCTAGCATAGACCAACTAGTGGATCAGACCGCTGGATGCGAACTCCTGTCTTTCATGGACGCATTCAGGGGGTATCATCATATCTCCATGCACCCCGATGATTCTGAGAAGACCTCGTTTATGACACCATAAGGGGTTTTTTGCTATTTGGTGATGGCCTTCGGATTGAGAAACTCTAGAGCCACTTACACCCGAATGGTAGCTAAGGTCTTTCGAGCAGTGCTGGAGAGGAACATGGAGGCTTATGTTGATGATATGATCGTGAAGAGTCAAAAGGCAAGTGACCATGCAGATGATCTCAGAGAAGTATTCGGCATTATGAAAAAAGTAAACCTAAGACTCTATCCTAAGAAGTGTACTTTTGCGGTCCAAGGCGAAAAAATTCTGGGATTATGGTGAACTCATAGGCATTGAGCCCAATCTAGAAAAGGTCAAGGCAATTCTGGATATGGAGCCCCCAAGGAATGTCAAAGAAGTCCAAATCCTCACAGGGAGACTGGAAGACCTGGAGGTTCCTTTTCAGATCAGCCGATAAATCATTACCGTTTCTTCAAGTCTTGAAAAAGAGCAATGGGTTTCAGTGGACCCAAGAGTGCCAAGTTGCGTTCGAGGACCTCAAGAAGTATCTACAGTCAGATCTGCTCCTCAGCAAACCTGAGGTCGGTGAGACACTTGTTCTGTATTTGGGAGTAACCCAGAGCGCAATCAGCTCTGTTTTAGTGCGAGAAGAAGGGACGGTCCAGAGGCCGGTCTACTATGTCAACAAAGTTCTCCATGGAGCTGAACTCAAGTATGCAGCCCTGGAAAAAGACCGCCCTCGCAGTCCATGTCGCAGCAAAGAAACTCGTCCACTACTTCCAGGCTCACCCTATTAAGGTCTTGTCAGACATGGGAGTGGGAACTCTATTCATAACAACCAAGACTGCGCGAGTGGTGAAATGGTCATTGCTAATCAGCCGGTATCACGTAAGCTTCCAACCTAGAACGTCAATCAAAGGCCAGGCCTTAGTAGATTTTCTGGTAGAATGTACTTCCAGGGACGTGGCTGAAGAGAGGCGCCGCGATGAGGAAGATTGGTGGACCCTAGTGACTGATGGATCATCATCAGGGGCCAAAGGTTACAGAGGAGGGGTGGTACTCATCACCCCTGAAGGCTTCAAGACATATTATGCCCTCGGGTACTTATTCAATCTATCCAATAATGAAGCAGAATATGAGGCATTACTTTCAGGCCTCATGATAGCGAGGTACTTCAAAATACAAAAGCTAAGGAATAAGAGTGACTCTAAGTTGTTCATCAAACAACTTAGAAGGGAATATGACACCAAAGTGATTGAGAACGAGCAATCAGGAAGGCTTGGAGGCCATCCTGGAACTTATAAACTGTACAGATTTAAAGATAGAGGTCAGCTTCCTAGAGGACAGAAAGGATCTAAGGGAAGAAGACGGCTCAGATAGGGTCGGAAACCTAAAACAACATCAAGAGCATCAGACAGATCAAGTCAAAGCAATCAGAAAAGGCAATCCAAAGGCAATAATACTACGTACGTGCAAAAATAAGAACAGAAAAGTAAAGATGTTTGAAGATTACACACCACCCCACTGGTGGAAAACAGCTACAGGCACGCAGGCCTGGAAAAGATGTTTGTTAAAGTGTTTTCAAAATTCAAATCAGTTACCAGATTGGGCAGGAGGAACTTCAGAGGCAGAGACGGTCAGGGCTTGGCTCTCTTCAGCAGCTTCCGGGTTCTTCATCGGCTCCGGGAGTCCCCAGGCTTGAGCAGAGAAGGATGGGTCTCTTTCCTGAAGGAAGTCGTACAGGGACTTCTGCATCCCATATTGACCGAGATGGAAGCACAGGACCCCCTCTTCGTCTAACCGGTCCTCACCCTCGGGAGTCCGGAGCCAGTCCTCGGCTATCAGGGTCGGCCTGCGCCCCAGGATGGCCTGTTCCACCTCAGCCTGGAAGTCTGCGCTTCCCTTGAAGGCCTGGATAACAGTCGGACCGCTTCCAGCCTTCTCTCGAGATCGCCATTTGTTCCTTAAGACTCGTCAGCAGGGTTTGGGCATCACCTTGCCCCTCATCCAGAGAGCACGAGCCATAAGAAGACATAATGAAGGCTTGAAAGCAATGAAAACGGGATTAAGAGACGGGACGGGCCGAAGACCTCGAATTAATGATGAAGAATAAGGATCAGAACGTACCTCATATATGGAGTGGACGACACGTCGGATAGCCGCTCGAGGCGACAGCTCCCTGATCACCTCAGCATCAACAGGAGGAGTGACGGTCAGGCCCAGGGCCACAGGGTTCACTGTACGGCCGAACAGAGAAGTAGAACCTGACTTCAAGAGAGGCGGACGGTGTGGATAGGTGTCGGGGCTCCCCCTGATTGCCACCTTCCTGAGACTGGGCATCCGAGTCAGAGTCCACGTCAACCACATCTTCAATATACTTCACAGCAGTTTTCCCTTTCTTCTTGGGCCCAGAGACAGGACGGAGTGTCGGCCTCTTCCCAGCCCCCTTACCAACAGGGGGCTGAGGGTCAACAACCGGTGTGTTCAAATTCCCAGCACTGTCTCCAGGGATGGACCCCCCCGACTTCTCCGAGGTAGCCCCAATGGCACCCCGGGTCTATATTTTTCGGAGAGGAACCAAGGGGCTAGGGGTGGCACCAGCCTTCGCAGTAAGTCGTTCCAACCGGGAATCCGTCTTATCACCCGTTGTAGCAAAACACAAGTGATGTCAGGGAAAGAAAAACCAAGAAGAGAGAATAAAATGAATGCCAAATCAGACAAAGCCTACCTGGTGAAAACGTAAGTACTACCACCCCTTCCTCGCCTACATAATGCCCCATCAAGAAGGGTGCCCCGTCAGCAATCATTCTAGCAGCCTTAGTGTTCCCCTCTGACAAGAATGACATCACCCACTTCCGGATTAGTTCCCCCCACTTGTTCGTGAACTGGAGTTTGATATTTGCAGGGGTGACCCAAATCCATTTTTGCCTCCAACCCTTGAAATAATCAAGGTAGGACTTGGCTTCAAATAAACGATGGTCAGCCCGTTGGGAAATTGAAAGATAGCCCGGGGATTCAGAGGCACCGGGTCTCACAGAGTGAAAGAAATGAAGGAAAAGATCGATTGCGGGGCGAATTTTCAGATGAAGGCATTGAGCGATAAACTCAGTGATAAACATGTGTGTAATCAGGGAGAACTCACCCGAAATCACACCATAGTAATTCATGACGTTTAAATGGGCGTTATGCAGCGGAAAACAGAGCCCCACTTGCAAACTGGCTAAGTGAACCCTGAAGTGAAGGGGAGAGGGGGGATCTACGATGTTCTGTCCATGAGAGGGGTGGGAACAGATGACATTGGGGCTTGCAAGGGCCACCGCCTCACCAAATTCGGTGTCAGATAGGGCGACGACTGGAACTTGTCAGGCATGTTCACAGCAGAGGAAGAAATGAGTTTCCCTCCCATCCGGATCCACCGGTATTCGGGGCCGATTCGAGGTGGCCCCTTCTTCAAGAACACACAGTGAATTGGAACTAAACTAGAAGAAGACATCGGGAGGACTAACCTGATGAAAAGTGAAGATGAAAGGGAGAAGTTTCGCGGCTTAGAATTCCCAACCAAGAAGACAAAGGCTCAAGCAAGAATGAAAATTGCAGAAGAGTTTTATGAAGGATGATAAGCGTTTAAATAGCCAAGAAATTAGGACTTGAAAACCGCTTGAAAAACCGCAATCGTAGCACTTGAGTGCTGAAGATGATAAGACAGATTGGAAGTTGCGCCGACCTGCAGGCCTGAATCAAGTTGGGCGCATTTAGTGCGAGCGGCGCTATAGTGCACCAAAAAGATTCGAATATTGAAATTAGTTGACCGCTCAATTTACTCTCCCAAAATCTAGCCCTGCTAATTTTGGAGAGTAGGGGGCTCGTAATGGTACCATGGACTCTAACCATTGGCCCAATTACGGAAGTACGGATTAGCCCATAACGGTATCAAGCCTTCAACAGGATTAGCCCATAACGGGATCAAGCCCTTAAAAGGGATTAGCCCTTAAACGGGATCAACCCATGAACGAGATAAATATACTAGTCGTTGGGCCTAACTAGGAATCAAACCCACGACAGGAACCCACAGCCAGGCCAGGCTGGACAACAGACCTCGAGCCTGGGCGGAGTTCTAGTGAGGTCGGGATATTCCTAGGGCTTACGTGGCAGACTATCATTCGTGCATAACTATTTGGCAGCATGCAGGAATAACGGAAGGAACATTGACTTAAAGGAACGATCAATGCACAACGGTCATAACATTACAAGAGTTCTATTCGAACTAATATGCAATTAATAACATTTATTGTATCAGTTTCATACTGGAATTCTAGTTCTTGTAGTCTATAAATAGTTCATGTAAACTTTCTATGAAGGGATCGAATTCTGGAATAAAAAATAGTCTTACTCTGTCATATTTTCAATCTGCTCTCGTAGTTGGATTAAACTCCATCAGATCTATAAATAGAATAGATGTATAAAATATAAACTTGTACATGTGTTTAAAAGTAAATATAATTCATTTATTAAGAAGTCTGAATTTAAAATCCATAATCCATGTTAAATACACGCTCATAGTGTAACAAATTGGATTTGTGTAAAACCAATCAGAAAATAGCAATCGGTATTTGCGTTCTTGACAATGTCCTGAATCAAATACGGAGTATATCCCAATTGCGGGGGAGAAAGTATTTTAGAAACGAAGAAACACAGGAAAATTGCCGGGTTGAAGTGGTATTGGTATCATTCCAATATCAGTGTTAGGTTTTGAATTCTCGTGAAACCGAACAGAGGATTCTAATGATTCTTCAGATCTGGTGAAGCGATTGTTTTCGCTTCAGCTTCGTTTCCCGGGTTGCACAATACAGGTCTTTCTTTGTTCAACCCGGCGCCTTAACTGATTTGTTACTCGAGGTGAATTTGCCCAGCTTCTTTCGTTTATGTATTCATTTCTGATTGAAAATCAATTTTGTAGGAGAATTCAGCGGTAAACGCGATGAATAGGAGTATAGGACTAATGCTGATATTATATTATCTATTTAGGGGATTCGATCAACTATTTAGGCAGATCGCGTGTTGTGAATCCTTAGTTTTGTTTGTAGCAGCGGTGACAGGGACCTTATTTCACCTTCCCTTTATAATTGCTATAGTTTGCTATTGCCTGTTGTGATGCACATAGTGAATATTTGCTATTTCTGTCTTTGAAGACAGACAACCACCCTATATCTCCGGGTCCGAAATCGTATTTAGTTCTCCCTCTAACCCTAACCAGTTTTTAGGACATTGTCCCATCCATATGTGAATCGGTTTAGCTTAATCATTTTCTAATGGATGTTCATGCTTCTTTGAAGCCATCTTTTCAACATCATTGATGGATGCATCAGATGGTCTGCCCAGTATTAGTTTGCAAGATACACCGTCAATAAATTGCTTAAGATTTCTTGCGATACTGAAGATTCTGCTTGGCTTCAATCAACCTTATGGGGGAGTGGGTGATAGGAGCATTCATCAACCTTTTAGGTAGCATTATCATTAATTTTGGAACCAACCTCCTTAAATTGGGTCATGATGAGGTATTTTCTACTTTCAGTTTTTTCCCTTCCTGCAACTCTGATAAATTATGTTACAAGTTTGTATTTAAATCATGAACTTTTGCCTTATCAAAGTTTTGGCAAGTAAAAATTGTTTATAGTCACAAGACTCGCACATGAGACAAAATAGTGATGGCCAGCCAAGAGCTTCACTGCATATTTTCATTTTTGTGCCATCTTCATTGAGGGGCAATTGGGTTAGTCATTTCCAAGTACTCAACTGTAATGACAGACTACATCTTGTAGAAGGAAAAGCAATCCATGATGGGCACCGAGGGAGCAAATGTGAAGGCTGCAATGAAACCCATAATATATTTCCAAACTTGGAGAGTTGGTAGGCATTTGGTCCATGGTGGTTTTATTTCTTGCAAGCGGTCCTTTATCTTGATTGGGTACAACCATATCTGACTATGAACTTCCTGTACAGGAGCTCTTTTCTTTGCTGTTGGGAATTGTCTAAATTTCATTTCTTTTGGATATGCTGCTCAGGTATGTTGAGTATGTATTTGAGTTAGTAGCTTTCTACTCTGGGTGAATAATATTCCAGTCTTTCTTCTGGTTACTATGAGTTGTGATTGTGTAGTTATTATTTCTTTGTGCAGTCAATGCTAGCAGCTTTGGGATCTGTACAATTTGTTTCTAACATTGCATTTGCCTACTTTGTTTTGAACAAAACTGTGACAGTCAAGTGAGTCAGTTTAACCTCAAGTTTGATAGTTTCTCATATACTATTCTAGTGATTTTATAATTTTTTACTTAAGACTTAATGATGCTTATTTAGACAATACTTGTTGACAAATTTTCTTTAATTGCAGAGTAATGATAGCTACCACTTTTATTGTTCTTGGAAACATCTTTCTTGTTGCTTTTGGTAACCATCAGTCACCTGGTACGTATTTGAATGAAGGCATTGTGCCATTGTTGTTTTTCCTTAACATATTTATACACCTTTACTCAGGCTCACTTCTTAATCATGATATCCTAATTAGACATAGGTTGAGCCTCTTAAGCTATTGACAAAAGGAAGTAAATTTCCTTGTTATTAGTTTCATTTTCTATGTTATTTTAAAGGCTAGAACATCTGGGTGATGTTGAAATCTTTCCTCTAATCTATAGTATAGATCTCCTTTATCCAAACCTACGAGCCTGACCTCCTGCTGCAGCTGACAAGCAGTTTATTAATGTATATTACCTATGTTCTTTATTTGTTGCAACAGTTTGTCTTTTCCACTGGTCACATACTCTACTTTGACTTCATTTATTTATTAATGTATAAAAAAATTATATTATGAAAAATACTGTCAAATGTTTTCAATGTAAAGTTATAAAATATGAATTTGTAGTTTTTACTTATATCCAATATCCAATTTAACATATTAATGATTAAATTCATGTGCTTGGCAACCATGAGAGTCAAAGTGTTGCAATTAAATAAGAATGAAGAAGGTATTATTTTTTTGTTCATTTTCAAAATATTAAATGACAACATAGAACACATAATTGTGAAAAATACTGTCAATTTTTTTTCAACGTATAGTTACGAAATATGAATTTGTAGTTTTTACTTATCCATTATCCAATTTAACATATTAATGATTAAACTCATGTACTTGATGTTTTTACTTATGGATCTTCTTCGTTTATTTAGGCATAAGAGATGAGCTTTGTTCAAATGTTGAGAATCATATGTAGTGTCCTGTGAATTATAGTGTAGATATCCTTAATCCAAACTAATGAACATGTCCTCCCACTGCAGTAAACGAGCAGTACATTTATCTATACTCTGTTTCTTGCTAATTTACAAAAAGTACAGTGACAAACTGACAACAGACAACATATAATCATGTGCATTTGTGTTTAGATGTATTTTTGTTTACATAGGGTCATCATACGTTTTCAGTCACTAGATCTTCCTCATTTGTTTATTAAATTAGATTTTCTTCACTTGTTTACAGTTTATACACCAGAACAGTTGGCCGAGAAGTACAGCAATATTACATTTCTTCTGTATTGTCTGATTTTGGTGGTAGCAGTTGCTTTTCTTCACTCAGTATACAGGTAAGATAAGAATATCATTATACCACATAGTTTCATCTGCACAATAATCTCTGGGTATCTCACAAACTATTACTTTCTCTTTCTTCCTTTCACTTTTCTTGATTAATATGCATTTAAATTTTGTCCAGGAGAGGGGAACTGCTAATCAGTGTCCCTGGAAATAACCTCAAGCCCTATTGGCAGATGTTGCTTCCTTTTTCATATGCAATTGTTTCAGGTGCTGTGGGGTCATGCTCGGTGCTATTCGCGAAATCTCTGTAAGTTACTACATGAACATTTAATGAAACCTTACATCCTTGTGGAGAAAAAATAAAATTGAAAGTGTAAGGCTGTATATGACTGTTTATGCAGGTCAAACCTGCTTAGATTGTACATTTCCAGTGGTTATCCACTGCATAGCTGGTTGACATACTCCATGCTTCTATTATTTCTTAGCACAGCTGGATTTTGGGTACCTATTTATTTTATCCTCACTGAGTACTTGATTATATCATTATTGGATGAATATGTTAATGTATCCCTTTTAAACTTTCGATTTTATTTGAATATGTGATCTATCAACAATTACAGATGGCTCGGCTGAATGAAGGACTTGCACTGTTTGATGCAATCCTTATTGTGCCCATGTTTCAGATAGCGTGGACCTTTTTTTCTATTTGTACAGGATTTGTGTACTTCCAGGAATATGAGGTCCATTCTCTGTTATGTCCGAATTATATTTATATATATATTGGGTATATAAAAAGGCTGATACGCAAATTTGAAAATAGATTTCCATGCATTTGTTCTGAAAAAATATATTATTTGTATCCCCCATTCATGATTCATGATAGCCACAGATTCATGTTGATATAATGATCTGATTTAGACATGGTTCATTGTGTTTTTAGCAAGAGACTTTTTTCTATGCCGATTTCTGTCAAGGTGTTAGGCATGGTGTACTTATTGAATGCTAGTTAAGCAGGTATTTGATGCTCTACGAACAACAATGTTTTTGCTTGGAATGACTTCTGTATTCATAGGCATATCTTTGCTGGCACCAGATGACTCCAAAGGTTTGCCATTAATCGATTCTGGATAAAAGCATATTACATTTGAATTGAATTATGCCTAGTCATTAGAGAATCCTAACACAACCTCTTGCAGGAGGTGAAAGCAAGGATAGACCTCTAGTTTCTGATTTGGATCTGACCCATGATGTGGATAGGTATGTGGATTCTTATATTCTATATGGGGAATTCCTTTTATTCAACATTGCTTACAACTTTCAAATTGTCAAACCATTTTTGAATTTTTTCTTTTGTAAATTCCACATTTTACTGCATTGGTATTCAACTATTCAAGAGTTTTGTTTGTACCCTCTTTTGTAAGCACCTCATTAGATCTCATGATCAATGCTTAATATGTACTTTGCAGGCTGGTTGTGCTATCAGAGGATTCTCAAATTCAAGACCTGAGGACATTTACACGAGTAATGCTGACAAAAGCTGCAAGCCTGATTTTGAAAGCAAAGGTTCTGATAATTAAGTTAGCCTTCTTCCTCCTGTGTTGCAAGTGGTTGCCATGAATGCACTGTAAAAATATTTTTTGTTTGTGTAGGCTGCATGTTCATTACCATTAGGTTTGGGCAATAACTCGCTTCATGGATCATCGGTTTTGGTGATGCCAATGGTATCGTCCAAAATAACTGGCTTTCGAGGAAGCGGGTTTGATCAAAACAAATTATTTTCCAGCAGAGGTCAAGGTTGGAGCAGAATATCTTTGGATGAGGATAGTGAGACAATTTTGGAGGCAGAAGCAATGCCCAAGGGTGTTGTGGGAAGCAGTAGCTTGCTTACATGATACTTGTGGATGAAAACGTAAGAACGACACTGGTTACATTCATACCGTTCTTCAAGGATTTGTAGGTCTTCATGTTCTTGTTTGTTTTATTTTTTATTTGTGCCTTGTAGTTGCGGTTGCTAAGGGTCTGTAATATTCATGGCCATAGATTGGGGGGGGGGGGTGTCCTGTGGTGACCTGGACCCAGACCTACCCCAAGTTTGGTATATATCTTTTCTTTTTTTCACGTGTAAATTTTGTAGTGTAAAAAATTATATGATTTTTTTTGGCCCACCTTAAATTCAAAATTTTGAAGACATGGTTACGCAACTATGATATTAGTTCCTTAATTTAGTAGTGGTGGTTTGACATCTAATTCTTCTAAGAGTGTTGGTTGCATTGAATTTCAAAAGATTCTGCTGCTTTGACTTTGGCAAGATGAATTTGGTGCCTGGCAAAGTATACTGTACTTGGAAACTGTTGAAGAGTGGTGGTTGCTTTAGAATTGCTTCAAGGACCCATAATCGGTGGTGATGTTAACAGGTGATGTTAACAGATGATAGTCTTGATACCAATGCTATGGCTTAAGGTTTTGACAGTACTCAGAGAATTGGTGTAGCAGGCCAGGTTGCTGCCCATGTGTATTGTTTAAGTGTACTGGATATGACCTTTCTTTTGTATATTCTGTAGTTTTTGTTTAACGCTCTAGTGGGTTTAGAGTGTATACACTTGTAGTAGACACTAGCCAGTTCCGATTCATTTCATGCCCTTATTTTTTGTCTTACGCAAACGGCTTTAGAGTATAGTAGTGACGGTATACAAGCTTTTGCTTGCAGGGAAACTATCTTCCTGTCTTCCTGATTCTAAGCAATTTTTTAAAGCTAAATAAATATGGGAACAGAATAGGAATTTATAAGACTTTGTGTTCACAGTGCATTTAGGGTTGGACTGGGTTTTTGGGTTGAAGGCCCAATACCGGCCTGGGTTTGTACTGGGCCCGGGTTGGTCGGGTCTAGGTCTTTTTGTTTTTTAAAAATCCTAATTTATTCCTACCTCCACCCCACCCCCTAAAGCCCCACCCTCCCCACCTGCCTAGCAGCCCCTTAAAATGGAAAAGTCAAAAAAAGGGCCCAGACCGGTCCACCTTTTCAGCATCCTGTACTATGGTTGGACTCGGGCCGGGTGGCCCGGCCCGGGACCGGTACTGTTCTGGCCCGGCCCGAACCGGTGGCCCGGTCAGTGACCGGTCCGGGTAGGCCAAACCCGAGGCCCGGCCCGGCCCGGACCCGGTGGCTACCCGGACTGGTCCCGGGTCCAACTATATAGAACCGCCGGCCCGGGCCCGACCCGGCCCGAGTCCAACCATATCCTGTACCCCATCCCCCTATCTCTGGTTCGGGCCCCCAATCTCGGTCCCAGTCGGTAGGGTCGGGTCAGGCTGAACCGGCCTAGTCCATGCTTATGTGCAATACTCCCTTTGTCCCATTATAATTGTTCCGTTTTTTCTTTTCTGTCTAACCCATTAAATTTGTCCCATACCATAATTGATAATATTTGTGTGACTAATCCATTCTTATTTTATTTCCACTTTATCAATTTATTATCAATCACATAATTCTACTTTATTTGTGTGCTTTAGTTCATGTCTTGTGTTTGAGAGTTTTATTAATTCTTGCACTTTTATTGCTTCCAGGTGTGGCAATGGATCTGGGCGGGGCGGGTAGTGCAGGACCCAAGCCCGCCTTGTGACTTTACTAGGCGGACCCGCCCCGTCTCGTGACCCGCACGGATCAATACTTGTTGGCCCATGACTCGCCTCGACGTAACCTAAATAGCTAGTATGAAACTATGAATTATGTATTTCTATTTGCGTGAAGCCGTTACAATTTGAATTGGGATATAGACTTTAATAGGACTAAAACAAGAGCTCAAACGGTAAATAAGACCTCAAACTTTTTAAATCCTAAATAGGACTAATTTTGAATCGAAGGGACAAAATTGCCTTTACTAATAACGTTTCCAGACCGCAGCAATCTTGCTGCCAATTAGTGCAAACATAAGCAACTTACTTTTAGCAACCATGACTATTTAGAAATTGTCGTCAACCATTCGGCGGTCGCAGGTCACTCCATCTTTTACTGCCGATCTGCATCAAATTATCGTTGGAGTGATCACCGGCGCGAAGCATCACCCAAGTGGTCACCGGAGTGTCCTTTTCCTCTTATTCTTCCTCCCGACCTCTTCTTCTTCTTCTCTCTCGTTTTCTTCTACTTCCCCTCTTTAACGAATATCTTTATGGTGCGCTGAATGTTGGTGGCCTTTTGTCCTGAATTTACTTTTTGTTTTTGTTTTACTTTTTCTCTTACTTTTCAATTTATTAAGGAGTATTACTTTTGCTTTTCTAGTTTTTTATATTACTTTTCAAATTCATCAAATAAATTTAATTTTCTGCAAAAAGTTTATTATGTATTTTGACAAATCTTTTTTATTGGTAATGAAATGATTAACACTATCATGTTTGCAATGTCAATATTAATAACCCTCCGGTCAATATTAATGCTACTGTGGATGCTTTGGGAGATGCTGCTATGGGCCATCCTGGAATGCTGAAACGGGCTGATTTCTTTAATAAAGTGTCTAAAGGCTTTAGACTAAAGCAGAGCAACCGGAGTTAATTAAAGTGATATCACAATCACAAATATTATCATTATAAATATTGTCACAATAATTAATGTCATGTTATTTTTGTTATGACAATGTTAATTTTATAAAAAAAGTCAAAAGAATGTCATAAAAATGTATAAAAGTGACATAAAAATGGATAAAAATATCATCGGGTTAAGAAAATGTCACAATGGCAATGTCATTGTCAATATTATAATAGCATCTTCAATGGTAAAATGTTAACGGTTCATACGTGACACGAGAGATAGCCAATGAAAAAATAATAAATAGAATATCTCTCTCCTTATTTGAAGGATCTTATCTGGTAAGTTTTTCTTCACAATGTCAAGCACAATGTCTAGATGTAGACATTGTGATTGACATTGCAAGAAAAAACTTAACAAAAACACATAAGACCGTGGAAAAAGAGAGAGTGAAATGTCATAAAATTAATCTTTTGTGTCTATCTCTCTCATGTCACATGTACACATCGTAGCATTGGAGATGCTCTAAAATGACATTGTAATTATGACAATGTCAACAACTATTATGACAATGTTAATTTTATAATAAAAAAGTCACAATGTCGAAAAAATGTCGTGATGTCAATTAATCACAATGACAATGTCATAAAAATGTCAATAATAATGTAATAAAAATGTCAATGACAATGTCCAAGAATGTCAATAAAAATGTCATAAAAATATCAATGACAATGTCATAAGATTGTCAAAAATAACTTTGACAACCCATACCCCTTCACCGAAAATTCCAGAGAAGGCTACAAGTTATAATCAATGTCACAACACACACACACACACACACACACACACACACACACACACACACATATATATATATATATATATATATATATATATATATATATATATATATATATATATATATATATATATATATATATATATATATATATATATATATATATATATATATATATATATATATATATATATATATATATATATATATATATATATCACCTAAATCCAAAAGAGGCCATACCAATCAGTAACAACAATGTCCTTGTGTTGTATGAATGAAAAACTAAACTTAAAGTTACAAATTAAAAATAAATTATGAATCAAAAAGCTAATAATAAAAAAAAAGGTAAATTAACCTGGAAACTAAAGTATTACTCCGTATTAATTATTAAACAAACCAAAGCCTGCAGGTGCAATTTGAAATAGGAAATACGAAAACAAGAAACATTAACAAACAAATTAAACAAACCAAAGCACTGGAGGTGCATGCAATTTGAAAAAGGAAATCAGAAAACATGAAACATTAACAAACAAATAAAAAATCGAAGGAATCACACGGGTAAACAAACCGAACAAAGAAAAGTGATGGAAGAAAAGAAAGAAAATTAGCAGCAAGCCTGCAGAGAGGGAAGAAAAGCAAGGAGAAGAGGAGGAGGAGTCAAGGAGGAGAAGAGGAGAAGAAAGAGAGATTAGCTGTGAAATCTTCACCGGCGCCGCCCTACACTTCCCCTCTTCGCCGTCCGTCGTTTCTTTGTTGGTTCACTTCATAGCTTCAGATTTGATCTGGTTTTTCAGATTTCCCCGTGAACCAAAGGAGGGCTTGAAAAGAGACGGTAAAGACATGGTGCATTATTAGGGGCAAATATGGAACGCCGGGAAAAATTTTTAGTCCTATACGGGATCATCTCTCATTTGAATTACATAAAGTTTCTCTCTAAATAATTATAAAAAAGTAATATAATAAATCATATCTGCTATGCACTGAAAAATATTAAAATTTTAAGAAATAATACCACGACTTAAACACGTAATCTATTATTATTAATTAATGAATATATAATATGCTAAATATAAAAAGAAAATGACAATTAATTGTTGTTCATCTCATTCAAATATAAATATTAATATATCACAAGATCAAAGAATTTATAATATTGTATAGACATATGTATGTATAGAATAGAGATCAAATACAAATCATGCTTAATTTACAAAGTACAAACTTATCTTGGTCATCCGATAAGTTGATCTAAAGGATATAAATGCAAGGTGGCATTTTTGTAATAAAACCTAACTTTTCTAGGGTGCAACTCATTGAACGTAAATGTGCACGCAACTGCTATTTTATGACTATATAATATGCAACACTTTGAACCTCAATATGCAATGCAAATAACGTCAAGGTGCATCGTACAAACATTTGCACAATAAACACAGTTTGTACTTGATCTTTCCCCTATATATATATATGTATGTATATATATGTATATATATATGTATATATGTATGTATATATATGTATATATATATGTATGTGTATATATATATATATATATATATATATATATATATATATATATAAATATGTATGTATATATGTATATATATATATATATATATATATATATATATATATATATATGTGTGTGTGTGTGTGTGTGTGTGTGTGTGTGTGTGTGTGTGTGTGTGTATTTGTAGTATAATTCTAAAAAAATATGTATACTTATATATAAAGTGAGGCGGGGCGACATGGGCGGAGGTAGGGGGCCAGTCGGACCCATGCACACCCTAAATTTGAAAATTCTTTGTATTTTTAGTGTAAAAATCTATGTGTATATTTATTTGAAAAATTCTTTGTATCGGCCTACCCCAACCTTCTATCCTGGCTACACCCCTGCGAGGAGGGGTGACATGAGTCAATACTAATATCAGGACCCCCACACACATTGTATGCATGGGGCGGGGCAGACCAACCGCATTTTAAGGCCAGGTGGGGCGGGCCTGTCCCAAATGCCTCGAGTCAGGGTGGATCCTTGCGAGCCGGTTTTTTTATATGCCTAATTGCTTCTACTCTCGCCTATTAGTGTTCTAAATAGTGTTGGATCGGTACCGGCCCGTGAACCAGACCAAACTGCTACTGTGCGGGCCCGACCAGGAAGTCGGGTACCAGTTCCGAGCCTAGGACCGGATTGGGAATTACAACGGGACCTTTCCGGGACTTTGATTTGGTGACCCAGCTCGGGCCCGGGTTTAACGGCTAGAAATTAAAAAAATGATTAAATAGGCATATAGCCGTTGGTAGGGATGGACCCAACCGGTTCGGCCCAGCCCGGAACTGGTCCGACCCGCCACTGTGCAGGCCTAGCCAGCTCGGTTGGTGCTAACCGGGCCCGGGCTTTTACACGGTTGGGGAGGGTTGGGCAGAACAGGCTCATGCCCTATTTGTTGGTGAACCGGCCCGTTGGGGAGCTCCCAAATGGCTCTAGCCCGAACCCGGTGGCTACCCGGGCCGGTCCCAGGTCCACCTATTTAGACCCGCCGGTCTTGCCCGAATCCAACCCTGATTTGACGTAGGGAAATTAAATATTTTAAGATTCTTGATTCAGCGTACACACAATTCAGAATAGAACTTCATCATCAAAGCTCTGCGCGACTAAAATGGGGAAATATGTGATGAATAAAATCATCCAATATTATACGGAGTATATTATCTCGCGCCTAAACTATAAATGTGCATCCCGTGAACCACATAATGTGCAACATTTTAATCATTTCTCACATTAAGAAGTGTTCTCAAAAAATTCATATCCTATGTATACACACGCAAATATTCTTATAATCCTATCCAAAATTTCCAGACAAGACCGCCGTCACACCATTCCCGGTGAAATTTTTTTAAAAAATATTGTGAACATGTTCTCCATGAAATATAAATTATGTGCACAAAACCTCAACTTAAAATTCAATCAAAAAGACAGTTAAATAGTTTTATAAATATAATTGCGCTTTACATGTATATTTGACGCAATTATCTTTAAAATTTAGATTGGGGTTCCAAGGGTCTGCAATATTCATGGTCATAGATTGGGGGTCATGTGGTGACCGGAACCTAGACCAACCCCTAGTTTGGTATACATATTTTTTCATTTGTAAATTTTGTAGAGTTGAAAATTATGAAAACCTTTTTCTTTTTGCCTACCCCAAATTCAAAATTTTGAAGTCATGGGCCTATCAGCCTATGACATTAGTTCCATAAACTAATCGAGCATCTTTCTCATCACGTCTAGTTCGGCACCGCCCCGGAACGGCGGTGTTCAGACGACGTTCGGACAGAAAGCTACTGGACAGGAGAATGACTCAACAAAGTATATACTCTAAGAGTGTTGGTTGCATTGAATGATTGAAATTTCAAACGCTTCGACTGCTTTGCGGACATATCCTAGTACTATTTGGACCGGCACGAGACCGGTTTTTATGTACTGGTACCGACCCGGAACCCAGGCTGGCGTAGATACAGGATGGGCATGGCCTGATTTATTGGTCACAACTTCCAACTAACGTATTTTTATTTTTATTTTTTAAATTAGAGGGTGGACCCAACCCGGGTATGGTACTGATTGGGCCCGGACCAGGACTGGTACTTGACCAAACCGGGTGAGTACCAAGCTTCAATCATTTAGAACCAGGACCGGCCAGGCCCAGGCCCGACCGGCTCCATGACTGGGTTCTTTGGCCTTTTAGCCGGGTCCAAAACAATCAAGTCTTAGGGGGTGTTTGGAACTGATTCTGCTTCTGCTTCTTTTTTAAAGCAGAAGCAGAATCAGAATCAGTTTTCAGAAGCTGGTACCCCCAGCTTCTAAAAAAACTGATTCTAGGAGTTAA